CAGGGAGCCCGATGTGGGGCTCGATCCCAGGACCCTGGGACCATGACCTGAGCCGAAGGCAGACGCTTAACGACTGAGCCACCCAGGCGCCCCATAAATAAATATAATCTTAAAAAAAAAAGTCAGATGTTTAACTGATTGAGCCACCCAGGTGCCCCTGTATTGATTTTTTTTTTTTTTAATGTAAGCAAAAACAACTCTGAATCTCTGATTCCTTTTCTAGGGAATAGCCAGAAATTTTCCAGCAAGAATAGAAGAAATGTTATTTCTGTTTCTACTGCTTAAGAATAATATATATTAAGACATAGTTAGAAGTTAAAAATTTAAATATCCACAGCTCTCTAAAAACTTTTTAAGAAAACCATACGTGTGACACCCAAGAGCCTAAACATAACTTAAATATTAAAGGTGGACAAGAAAGGAAAGGAATGGAATCGGGACGAGTTTTGCCACAGGCATACAGAAAATTCAAATTGAATAACAAGCTTGTTATAGAACTATTGACTATTTTTTTAAATACACACTACCAAATAGTAGTAACCCAAAATTTATAACCCATTATAACTTAGCTAGGTTGGCCTTTATAATAAATACTTTCATACATAAATGATTAAAAATAATCCAACCAGTTCTTTAACATTGGAATAAAAAATCTGATATTTTACTTACTCCATTTACATTTGTTTTAGCTTGTGTTCCATATGTTTCTTCAAATCTTAAAATTTGAAGGTGAACCTCACTATAATCTTCCACACCAGCATCTTCAAATATAAGATGAGTTCTGCAGCAAAGGATATGATAAAAAAAAAAAAAAAGCAAATGGGATAAAGAGGTACAAACTTCCAGTTACAAAATAAATAGGTCATGGAGATGAAAAGTACAGCATAGGGAATGTAGTCGATAATATTGTAATAATGTTGTACGGTGACTACATTTACGGTGGTGAGCACTGAGTAATGTCTAGAATTGCTGAATCACTATGCTGTACACCCGAAGCTAATATAACACAGTGTGTCAGATAAACTTCAGTAATTAAAAATCTATAAATAAATAAATACAATGTAAGCAAGTATCATTACCAGACTCAACCAAATACTGTTTCCTGTGGAATGGTCTGAGCCTGTTGCTAGCTGGCTGTCTCCATGATAAGAAAGGGAGGTTGGCAAGTGTTCAAGGACCAAATGAGATTTTTTTTTCTCCTAAAATCAGAATCATTAAAAGAGAAAGAAAATAAAAAAATATTCATGAATTTACAGTGGATCAATTCCAACATTCCCTGAGTTGTCGTTCTTGATCGAGGTCACCTGGTTGGATGTCAACAACAACTACATTTAAAGGGCTAGGACGATCTGGGGCATTGAGGGCTATCAAGTCATCCTGAATAGAGCTTTAGCTTCAAACCACATTTGGTATGTTATAGCCTCAATGTCCTTATTTTCTAAACAGTCTAAAATTGAAGATTTCCTCTTTGATACGATAATTACACGTACGTGCAAGTACTTTTTACATATCTTAGATACCAGAGTTTTGGGGTTTTATTGTCTCTGAAAGTTTTGTTATTCATTCAGTGTATTACATAAGATCAAAGAATGTGGTCTATAAAATGTCTAGTTTCTGAAACAGATTAAGGTAGCTTTGAGGATGCTTGGAAATAAGGTGCATACTTGTCTTGTGGGCAAGAATGTTCTATCTGTAGTTATTAATTCAACTTTTATATTATCCCAATATTCTATGTCCTTTTTAATTGTTTATTTAAGGGGTGCCTGGGTGGTTCAGATGGTTAAGCACCTGCCTTCCATTCAGGTCATGATCCCAGGGTCCTGGGATCGAGCCCCACGTTTGTGCTCCCGGCTCAGTGGGGAGTCTGCTTCTCCCTCTGCCCCTGCCCCCTGCTTGTGCTCTCTGTCTCTCTCTCTCTCACTCAAATGAATAAATAAAATCTTTTAAAAAATTGTTTATTTAATAATAAATAATAATAATAAGTAATCATTATTACTTAACTCATTAAATATGAAGATCTGTGAAAATCTTCCACAGCAATGATATTTCTCTCTTTCTCTTTAGGTATCTAATAGCTCTGACTTAAATGTCTTAACGCTTAACGCTATGTTACCTAGCACATGAAAGTGCATGACCACATTATCTTCATTGTGAATGATACATTTTATGCCATTTGAATTCTACCTTCCTTTCAATATCACCGTCTCCTCTTTTTTCCCTTTTCATTCTCCCCTTCCTTCTCCTTTTCTATCCCCTTGTCCTTCTCCTTCTTGTTCCTTGCCCACTCTGATTCTTCTGACTTTCTTGTGTTGTTTGGTTTCAATGTCTATCATAACATATAGTTGGACTTTGATTTTAACCTATTCTAAGAGACTTTATCTTTCAACTGAGCAATATATAGCATTTACGTTTATTTGCACAACTAATGATTTTGACTTAACTTGTGAAATCTTGTTTTATGCTTTCTGTTTTAATGTTTGCTTCATTTTATGATTTTTGGAATATTCATTCATTCAACAATATTTACTGAATAATATGTGCTAGATATTGTGACTTAGAACTATGTTTTCATGGCTTTTATTTTATTTAGGTGCCTAAGAAGGCACTCATTTTTCAGGTTTCCTTGTTCAAACATCACTAAGTAAAGCCTTCCTTAGTTGTTAAAATTACATTATGCTCCTGCATTATTCTTTTCCATAACACCCTTTAATATTTTTTCACAGTATTTTTCAATTCTTTATTTGTGGGTTATCAGCTTAATGTCTACCCATATACCAAACTCCATGAGGATAGCTGCCTTGTCTGACATACTGATAACTATACACCCAGGGCCCAGAAGTCACTGCCATGTAGTAAGGGACTCAAAGGTTGAAAGAGAGAGTTAATTAATTAATTAATAATGTAGGTAGTCTTAAAAGTGCAGATTGTAATTATCTTTTTTTTTAAAGATTTTATCAATTTTTGCGAGAGAGAGAGAGAGAGAGTGAGCACGAGCAGCAGGGAGGAGCAGAGGGAGAAGCAGACTCCCTGCTGAGCAGGGAGCTTAACTGACTGAACCACCCAGGCATCCCTATTATTATTATTTTTAAAGATTTTATTTATTTATTTGAGAGAGAGAGAGAGTGAGCGAAGAGAGAGAGCACAAGTTGGGGGGAGAGAGGCAGAGGAAGAAGCAGGCTCCCCGCTGAGCAGGGAACCGATGCAGGACTCGATCTCAGGACCCTGGGAGCATGACCTGAGCCAAAGTCAGACACACTTAACCATCTGAGCCACCCAGGTGTCCAACAGATTGTAATTATCTTAAATCTTTAATATATAGACACTGTGACTCTCTACTAAGTGATGGGATCACAGACTACTTTCACTCATTTTCCTGTTTATGTATTTTGTACTTTTAAATGTTTTGATCACCATTGTTGATAAAGACTGAAATCATTTTACACGAGTCCCTCCCTATTAAGAAAATATTAGCACTAGTTTGTCTTTTCATATCTGTCACCAACACTTATTTTTACTAATAGGGGCTTGAATCTTTAACCACATGACATGGTAGGAAGCATCACTACTGTAAGATGTAAATGATTTGGTTCTAGCATCAGAAATTCTATAAAAGTTATTAAATAATTAAATTTGGCTACAAAAATATGACATTTCTTTATCTGGATATGTTTAAAGAAAAGAGGACTTTCTGGGACACACTAAGTGATCTCCAGAGGCAAAAACAGTTGGCTGTACCATATGGTCTGTCAAAGGGTCTATTGCTTTGATTCTATCACCTGTTACCTTTCCAAACATCATCTCTAGGTGAAGAGATCTTCAAGTAGAAGCTAGTATCCATAAAACTTTTCTAATACTTACTTGTTTATCTGAGCATACTAAACTGTAGAACTGTTGGGGCGGGGCTCATTGGTATTGTCAACAGCACCCTCCATTTACCACACAATCAATGTACTCAGTGGATATATAAATACATTAGAGGAAAATGTGAAGTCATTACAATAATGATCCTTGTGAAATAATTTGATGATTAACATGCTTTAAATTTAGACTGGAAAACCCATCTTTTTGTTTCATGTACAAACCTTTTCAGAATATGTTCAGTTCTTCTCCTTCCCTTTTCAGTTGCTTTTGGACCTCCCATTGTGCAGACAGCAGTTGCTCCAACATCATCATGGTAACAAGCACTTACCTGCCAACATGAGGTTACAAATATAAACAATGATATTAATCCATGCCAACAATAATATGCCCTAGAATGGATCGCGTAACTTTTTTTTCATTTTTTATTTAAATTCAATTTAGTTAACATATAATGTATTATTAGTTTCAGAGGTAGAGTTTAGTGATTCATCAGTTGCATAGAACACCCAGCGCTCATTCCATCAAGTGCCCTCCTTAATGCCCATCACCCAGTTACCGCATACCCCAGCCCCTCCCCTCAGCAACCCTCAGTTTGTTTCCTATGGTTAAGAGTCTCTTATGGTTTGTCTCCCTCTCTGGTTTCATCTTGTTTCATTTTTCCTTCCTCTCCCCTATGTTCATCTGAGTGTTTCTTAAATTCCACATATGAATAAAATCATATGATATTGGTCTCTCTCTGACTGACTTATTTCACTTAACATAATACCCTCTAGTTCCATCCATGTCGTTGCAAATGTTAAGGATTTCATTCTTTCTGATGGCTGAGTAATATTCCATTGTATATATATATACCACATCTTCTTTATCCATTCATCAGTTGATGGACATCTGGGCTCTTTCCATAGTTTGGCTATTGTGGACATTGCTGCTATAAACATTGGGGTGCATGTGCCCCTTCGAATCACTACTTTTGTATCCATTAGAAAAATATCTAGTAGTGCAATTGCTGGGTTGTAGGGTAGTTCTATTTTTAAATTTTTGAGGAACCTCCATAGAGTTTTCCAGAGTGGCTGCACCAGCTTGCACTCCCACCAACAGTGTTAAGAGGGTCCCCCTTTCTCCACATCCTCACCAACATCTGTCATTTCCTGAGTTGTTCATTTTAGCCATTCTGACCAGTTGGATCACATAACTATTAATCAGAAACTATTTTATCTATTCTAAGTGTATAAGTAAGTAAAGTTATCTTTTCTTAAATGAAATAATGACCTTCATGGAGGTAAAATGAAAGCATTAACAATAAATTGTGTGTGTGGGTATAAGATTATATTTCTGAATATACAAAAATATTTTGGGGGCTTTAAAGTTTACTTCTGTCTAAGCTTCCAGTTAAGCTTTTCTTCTACGTGGGCGGAGACTTTGGAAACACTCTACTGGAAACAATCTAAATGTTAGATAAGAATGGAATGGTTAAATAAACTATGATATATGCAGATAATGGAATGCTGTGGAGCACTTTTGAAATAATGTAAAAAAGTAAATAATAAAAAAAGTGAAAAGTAAAATTATTTAGTCATGAGGAAATGTTCCTAAGGTTATATTTTTAAAAAGATGCAAAAATAGTATACAATATAATCTAAATATGTGTGTTTACATTTGCGTGTAACTGCCACCCTTTTTTATGCTAGTTTGAATTACATTTCTGTCACTTGTGATAAAAAGAATCCTAACTAGTATACTTAAAACTATGCTAACAGTATGCTTTTTAAAACTGACACTTTATTTCGAGAGGCAGTATCATTCATAGCTTTCAGAGTCTGTTTTAAAGCAATAAGATAAAAAAGCATTATGCCTAAATTCTGTTTTCTGTCATGGACATATCATATCTAAAAAAGGAACATTATTTTTAATATACAGATATATTTTCTCTGTATTGATACTTTAATACCTATTCCACAGTCCTTCTCTATGATGCTTTATGATCGTGGTGCCACCATACACACCTAGTTTTGGACAAATAATGACTACCCTAAATCTAAGGAATTGTGAAATTATAATTTACATATACCAAGTAGTTTTAACCAATATCAAGAAATCAAAGAGAGTCTGTGGGCTTATCTCCCTACCATGTTTTCTACCTCCTTTCTACAGGAAATCATAACTTTATTCCTAACTAAATACCCTATCATACAGAGGGAACTTTATTGTGCTTTCCCCCAGACCTCTAAACAGGTAACAAAATAACACAAGAGAAAAGACCTTATACAGTGGACTCCTGGACAAC